TGTAGATTGAGGAAGAGAGAAGAATCTGCTACGGTGTATGTACCATGGATCTAGTGGTATGGTATGAGCTTAAATCTGGACCCTAGATTATGATTAAAAACTCAAAAAAGAAAAAAAAAAATTAAAGGATTAATTACGGGATCACACGAGAGTCTCGACGGCAGTCGTCAAGTCCGGCTTAATAACCAAGAAGCCGGCTTTTAAGTATTTTTTTTTTATTTTAAAATGTGAGAAATGTTAAGGTTAAAAAAATGTGAATTTTTTCTCTTTATGAACAAATTAAAAAGATTTACAAATCAAGTTAGGAATTTACACGTTAATATCATGAAGAAAAAAAAAGACAGAAAAATTTATTTGAAAAGAAAGAAAAGTTTTGGATTTTGTAAGTTTGCATTTTCTTGAGTTATAAATATTTGTCTTCCTTTCTTTTCTATTTTTGATAACGTTTTTTTTAGTCCAAGATATAAGAATAAGCTACGAACAATAGATCTTGATCTAGCCAATAGCCATTATAATGTTTGGTTGGTTGGTTCAAGATTACATACTAAAATGTTTTTCTCGTTCATTAATTCTTCTTTATTTCGTGAATGAGTTTGTTTATAAATCCACGGTCTTTATCATTCTTGTTTTTGTTTTTTCTTGCTTTGTTGTTTTCTCCTCGACATAAACCCTATCAAGTCAAGTCTCGTTTTAATATTTTCACAAGAGTGTAGTACAACATATAATCATTGATTTTACAATGAATGGCATTTTTTTGTTTATAAAATACAATGCATGGCATTAACAAAGGTAAATTAATAATAAGCAGCATTGAGTGAAGACTACTAATGAAATTGATTGGTTGGATGGCCAATCCTTCCATGTTATCAGCTTTTAGCATGTCTAGGTTTCAACTACCAATTGAAGAAAACAAAAATGCATTTTCTTTTTTTTTTTCCTTACGATAATTTGCAAAGAAATAATAAAGAAAAATAAAAAATGCGTTCACGTAGCGAATCGACCGTGAAATATGGCCGAAGGTGAGTGTCGTGTACGATACCTCGTCTGTGAACTATTTATTTACAAATACTGCCACTCTTTTTACAAAAATGCTTACTTGCTTAGCTTAAAGATTTATTAAGTGTTTTGTGTTGGGATCTCCGTCGGACATTTCAATATTTTTTAATCCATTGAACACTAAACATAAAAATGTCAAATAGATAACGAAGTATTTGTTTCCCCACATATGTATATGTAGTATATTCATGAGCCACTAGCTTACGATAATTCGTCATTATTTCATTTTATTGCATACATACATCCTTTATATATTAATTGAGGAATGTGACCAAA